GAAAATCATCCTTCCCACCGTCCCATTTATCCATATGGGGTTCTGACACAGAGGCACCTCCCTCCAGTTTATCAGGGGGTCTCCCTTGCCATCGTATCCTTGGGAGACCATCTTTAGGAACCTCATCAAGACCATTGGATACCTCTATATCACCCTTTCCCTCACCCCCTTCTCCAATCTTATGTAATCCTAATGGCACTAACGTGCCGGCATGTGTTGTTTGTGGGGGTTGCTTGCACATTTCCTCCATTTGCTTCCTCTCATCACCTCCCTGTGTATCATTTAACTCCAGCTGTAAAGCAGTAACCACGATCCCCTTTTTCCTTTCGTCAGTGTAAGTAGCGCACAGGGTGTGTGTGTGCTCCCACTCTCCATTAGAAAGCCCTCGCTCGCCACCCTCTACCGTCAAGCAGCCCTGAGGGCTTAAGTTCGAAGCTCCTATATTATGCTGCGTCATGCAGTGAGCCGTCTTCTCCACCTGCGTAGCTGTTTCTAAGTAGGGAAGCCTCAAATCCTCCCTCCTCCACGTGCCCCCAGATGGAGGAGCACGGCGGGGGCGTAATGAAGAATCCAGGGGCGGCAACTTGAGTTATTGAGTGCTACTTTGAACATTTGAACCAACTCAAATATGCATAAATTCTGACTGAAAGAAATATTTTATGCATGTGACTTATACCTTAACAACATGATTTTTTGGAGCATGAACAATCCATTGACATTCTGCCAGGTTATCATATGCTTCAGGATAGTGCATGCTTTGCACTGTTCCTTCTTTAAAGAGAACTGCTAGAGGTCCACAGCCAGAATCTAAAAAGAAACCAAAATTTCTTCAATAGAATAGAATAGAATAGAATAGAATAGAATAGAATAGAATAGAATAGAATAGAATAGAATAAAATAGAATAGAATAGAATAGAATAGAATAGAATAACAACTTTATTGTCACTTTGAATGTACACTAATCGGCATACATTAAAATGAAATTTTGTTGCATATAGCTCTTAAAGGGTCACTACCTCCAATAAATATGACATAAACAAACAAACAAACAAACAAATAAATACAGAATTATGCATATATCCACATATATTATATGACACAGAGAAATAACCTGTTTCAAACATTTAGAAGGTTAATTTGTCTTATCACACTGTGGAATATATGCATATATTTGTGATATATTGTACATTAAAATTGTACAAAATTGCTCTTTGAATATTACCATTATAGAGCAGGGGTCCCCAATCCCCGGTCCTTGGACCGGTACCAAGCCGTAGCATGCCAGCAACCGGTCCGTACAAACAAGCAAACTCCATCCCCAAGATGCAGGCAGCACACAAAATCATGCACTCTCCGGTCCATGGAAAAAGCTTTCTCCACGGAACCGGCCCCTGGTGTCCAAAAGGTTGGGGACCTCTGTTATAGGAAAAGAAGTATTACTTAGAGGATGAATGAAAACAGTTTTGAAACGGATAATGTTTTTACAAAGGGTGTAAGAAGATATTTGAATAGTGGATAAATAGTTTGGCCTTGCTTGTGGTGGTATCTCTTTTGTCAGAGTGGTCAGTTCTAAAGTTGATATGGATTGGTTCATTTGTATCAGTAACTGCTCGGTTCTTGAGTTTAAACATCTTATTATATGTAAAGTCAATTCATATCTCAATTCCATCCTGTCTTGTGATAGCTTAAGTTACTCCTCAAGGAACTTGATAATGGTACTTCTTCGTGAAGTTCAGGAATTCAGAAGTTCAAAACCATAAAGACCACATTTATCTCTTGAAAGGGAAGGAGAGAGGAATGAATGCAGGATAGGTATGGCTCCAAATGTCAAATAAAGAATAATCTGAAAATGCACAATGGACTGGTCGAGAGCATTAATATTTACCTAGAAAACTAGCTGGCTTAATAGCTAGGTATGTCATGGTAAATCCAGTTCCTTCTTCCTTGTTATCTGAGACAAATTTCAATCTTACGCTGTTTGAACCAATCAAAATAGGTAGTGGAAGGTCCATTCCACACAATTTCCCTAAAAGACATAAATGTAGAAATGAAGATATTGATACTTATAGACATGGATACTATTATTATTATTATTATTATTATTATTATTATTATTATTATTATTATTATTATTATTATTATTATTATTATTATTATTATTATTATTATTGTCGCACATTCATCCCTTACAACTTTCAGAGATTAATTTTAAAAAATGTGTGGTCATTTGTTGAAACATTCTTACCACTTTGAATATATGGATGATTTTTCTTTCCATGCCATAAAACTCCCAGCTTTAAATTTTCTTTGCAGGTTCAGTTCAATAAAGTGTCAAGTAATGCTGACTTTTGAATAGTAGATTGTTTTGATGGTCAAAGAAATCATATGCAAACGTCAACAAAGAGCCATGGTGGTGCAGTGGTTAGAATGCAATACTGCAGGCTACTTCTGCTGACTGCCGGCTGCCAGCAGTTTGGCAGTTCGATCCTGACCGGCTCAAGGTTGACTCAGTCTTCCATCCTTCTGAGGTCGATAAAATGGGGACCCAGATTGTTGGGGGCAGTGCTGACTCTGTAAACCTCTTAGAGAGGCTGCAAAGCACTGTGAAGCGGTATATACGTAAGTTTAAGTGCTATTGCTATTAATAGCAGAATCCTTTGTTTTTTAATTAGAAGCCAGCTTTTGGCTATACATTTTGAAGAAAAAACTTACCAATGAGTCTATCATCCATAGAAATCACTGACAAAGAATCATAGTCACAGAATGCATCTGGCTCCACATCAAAATGAGAAAAATTCAACACTATATGCCTCCCTTCTGGAACAGATAAAGTCCAAACGCAGAGCCTAGATTGAGAAAACATTGAGTGATTGCTAGTTGAAAATTAAACCATGAATTAAGCACAGGTGCACCAAACCATAGACAAAACAAAGAGGTAATTTGTTTCTTCCACCTTCCCATGCATATTATATTGAAACCCAGTTAAATACACGTAACCTTCCCCCCATGCACACATAATAATAATTTTAGATCTCTAACGAAACCCAGTGAGATTTTAGATTTGCTTCTGAAAAACTTAATCCAAACAGCATAAGAAGACTTTCACAGACTAGTGAAAAATAAGATAAATGTTATGGAACATGCATAAAGTATGAATGTCTATACTAACTAAGGTATACAGAAGTCATAATCACATAAGACATTTTTAAAAGAAGGTTCATTGCTTGCTTTATTTACTGAATAACCCAGTACACAAACATACTTTACTTACCATGTTAACTCACGTTTGCTTAACCATGAATTAGCTGATAAATTATAATCAGCTTAGTTTGCATAAATTCAAGCCCATTATCTGGGTTTATATAACAACAATAAAGCACATTAAAGTTTAGGGATTATCCTCACATCCTGCTAACCATAGTTAAAAGATATCTCACTATTCTAAAAATGACATACCTTTAGGTTGTCAAAGGATTTTGGCAATTAATTGATAGTTGGGTCCCTTTGAACCCATGCATGAAGACAGAGCAAACGTGAACAAATTTGTTTTCCTATCTTTCAAAACTCACTTTTTCCTCAACTCCAGCACCATTCCAGGTTATGAAGAGGAGTTGACAGTTGATAATTTTTCACACTAGCAACTGGTGCTTAGTTGGAGGAGAAGTGAATTGTAGGAATCCATTATTCATTTTCCTTAACTTGTCCTGAGTGAAATCTGTAAGGACAGTACCGATCTCCTGTAGCATATTCTGAGGGAGAATATGCTACAGGCACCAGAAATTATTCTGGCATTATTATTTTTTTGCCAAATTAAAGATGAAAAGAATGAAGATTAATATGGCCATGAGAAAATGCCCTTAATATATTGTATGAATGTATATACTCTGAATCTTCTGAATTTTGTCACTCTATTTGGGTTTACATAATTAAGAATTCTAGTTAAATATACAGGTAGTCGTCGACTTACAACCATTTGTTTAGTGACAGTCTCGAAGTTACAATAGCACTGAAAAATGTGACTTATGACCTATTTTCACACTTATAACTGTTGCAGCATCCCCATGGTCATGTGATCAAAATTCAGAATTTGGCAATTGGTTCATATGTGCAGTGTCCTGGGATCATATGATCACCTTCTGACAAGCAGAGTTAATGGGGAAGCCAGATTCATTTATCAACCATGTTACTAACTTAACAACTGCAGTGAGACACTTAACAACTGTGGAAAGAAAGGTCATAAAATGGAACAAAACTCACTTAACAACTACTTCACTTAGCAACTGAAATTTTGGCCTGCATTATGATTGTAAGGCGAGGACTACCTGTAATAACTTTGCTGCAATAGAGTATGGATTGAGAATGGCTATATGCAACAATCCAGGGTAACTGAGCCTCAAAAATGGCAAATAAATAAATATTTAACTACTTACTGGTTATCCTGATAAAAATGCTTTGGGAATTCAGGAAAAATCAATTTTCCTTCACTGCCAGAAAGTGCACCATCTTGAATGTTACACGATGCTGTATTGTGAATATATAATATGTTATCGTGGATCATTTCAATTAAACCAAATACTTATTGATTTTTTTTTTATTTGTATTGCTGTCCTCAAGAGTTCAAATTCTAGAATCTCTAGCCAATCATTGCTAGGAATTTTGGAAGTTGACATCTAGCACATCTGGTAGATTATTTTCTTCACTTTTTCTTACTTAGGCACTTTAACCTTGTGCTTATTTTGTATTTTTACTTCCTCAAAAATAAAGTAACAGCATAGGAAGTCTAGAGAAAAGAGCTCTTTTTTTTTACATTAAAATCTTACTGGGGGAAAAAATAGCATGTTGCAAACAAGGAATAACATTTCTATATTACTTAAGATAAGAAAGTGACTGCATGAATTTAAAGCTTCTCTGGGGGAGATCCAAAAAATGCGCACACATAAGGTTCTTCAGGTTTCCAGGGCTTTTAATTTGGAGAACCTTTGCAGGAACTCAGTC